TGCCTTACCCGTGTACTAGTTACTCCCTTGCTCATTCAAACCACGTGTCTACCTTCGACTAGTCCGTCATCCGGTAGGTCAATAAAATCGGCCCGCCCGGATTTTACTAAACAGACACGAAAAATCGTATGATGCCGAAAGTGTCTACTGTAAAAAGATACCAAAAACAGTTTCGTGAAGTCTTATAATAACGATAGCCCTACAATCTCGTAAGCTACCTTATATGTTTTTAACACCCCACCCCACAGACGCTCGCCCCCCCCCCCCACCACCAGCTCCTCTCCCCCCCCGCCCCCCCACACCACATCTCGCTACCCAAAACACACCGCACAAGATCCGCACCGCAAATCCCCCCCCTCCCCGCTCTCCTCCAAGCTATTCGCTGCCTACCTCATATGTCTTCTTGGGGCACTGTAAGGAAGTGGCAGATTTTTTCCGGCTGTGTACTTTCAAATTCTAGCGCACTCGAGCTGGTTTCTCCAAAATGAGCTACCCCACCTTCAAGTTATGTGTTCGCAAACACATGACTGTAAATGTGAATCTTATTACATGTGAATCTTATTACATGTGAACATATTGCGATTATGTACTTAGTGTGTGGACAGAGTGAAGCAGTACCTGTGTGTCACAGTCCAGCAGCCGGACCGCCTTGTCAGTGACCTGCAGGAGCATCTCCTGGGTCCAGATTTTGTCTTTTGAGTCCAGAAAGTCTAGTTTCTTGACGGCATCGTCCACTGTGACGATGGACTCTGTCTTGTCCATAATGAACGTAGAAAGATGCTGATGAGGAAACAAAGAGTCGGTAAAGGAAAACGATTGGTTGTGAGGTGAATTAAAACACAATGGCTCTCTAGAAAGTAGGAAATGTGTGCTTTAGAAAATTGGATTGACAAAATGCACATTTAAATAACGCTTACGTTATAGTTTGATATTTTGGGAATTATACATATTGCCTTTCTTGCAGAGAGTAAGATGAGAAAAATTAGCACAACCTGCTAGCTTAGCTTATCAAAAAGACTAAACACTATGGGAAACAGCTGGCTGAAAAAGATCTTAAACTCACTCATTAGCTGTTGTTTTAAGTAACACATCTTCTCTACTAAATCTCAGCAAGAAAGCAAATAAGGATAATATATTTCCCAAAATGCCAAACTATTTCATAAACTGTTGGCTGTATTTAGATCAGCCACCTCTAAAAATACTTGGCATTTATATGGCTCTATGCTGCCAGCTTGGCTGTTATTTTGAGGATTAGCTGCCCATGTGTGATAATGGCAGGCCTCTAAAGAAATACAATTTGCACGGACACAGGACTAACGCTATCCCTGACCCAACGCACATCTCTGCCCAGAGTCCTTATTGCTTTATTATCAAACCTTCCCGTACATGAGATGCAATCAAGACATTAACGACTGTGTCAACTTTTATCTCTGGCCAGAAGAACAATAAACCATCACTTAGGGTAAGTGCTTTTTTCTTTTTATCATGAGGTTCAATTACCCATTTTAAATTATAAATCTGTACAGTTGTAAACCTCAGGTACAAGATTTTTTCTATCATTTTTTGGGTTGTTGTCATTTTTTGGCTGTGTACAGTATGAAAGGGAACGTGGAGGGAGGAATGAAACTAAGATCTACGGCTGGATTCAGTTTAGAGACATAATGCGTATGAGGTTTAAAACTACTGGAATATCAGAAAGAGAACTACACTTTTTATCTAAGTTGCTCATTTATATAAATATGTTAAAATTCACTATCAATGATTATTATTTTATATTACAGTCAATTATATGGAATAGTAAATCAAAAAATGTAACTATATAGAATAATAAAAGGTGAAATTCAAATGAGATTTCCTATAGAAAAAAAACGAATAAATATAAAGTGTGTTTAAGTGCCATTTACTTCCAGTTATAATAACATGGATTATATATGCAGTGCATCAGCTTGAATACTTTATTCATCTACGTTGTGCTTTTTTCAAAACTATTTTGAAAAAAAACAGGAACGCTCAAAAATACAACAAACAATTGAAGCTACAACGCTGATTAAATCAAAGATTTGTTTTCATTTCCGGGCTCTCAAATGTGGAGAAATACAGCTTTTCTCAGTTGTTATGTCATATTTAACTAAATACATATGAGTTTTAAGAGGACAAAACATGACATTTAAAGCTGCTTCATGGAAATGTTTTACCATTTTCCATCTTTTCTTTTATTTGATAAATTGGTGGATTTAGAAATACATCTGCAGATTGATCGATAATGAAATAATAATATTTTGCAGCCCTATAAATATAACTTTAATCTTTAGATAAACACATAAGGAGCAGATCTTACCT